AACTCCTTTTAAATTTTCTCCTCTGAGGGTAGAATTGTCATACTGAGGGCTTATTTGCTGTAAACAACTTTTCTGGTATGTTGTAAATCATATATATAACCACAAAAGGCAGCAAAATAATAGTTACCTCATTTGTCATTTTCTAGGCTGTGTTTGATGCCTTTGTCATTACTGACTGTACTACTTTAGACAAAGTGACATAACTGTTCTAAACAGTTGTTCTTCACGGTATGTTGAGACTGAGGTAGCCTCAGGTCATAAAAAATACTATAGGTCACTGCCAAAGAACCATAGGCTGGACCAAGTAGGCAGAAACTTCTCATTTCAAATAAATTGAAGAGGTAGGAAGAAACTCAAACCGAAAAGCCAGGTACACCTGGAAGACACCTTCTATAAGTAGTTATTTCCTAAAGGATTTAATATTAGCAATAAAATTACTCACAATAGGAAATTTATAAGCATCAACAACAGAATTAAATTTAAAAAAATAGAAAATAAAAAGACACTTAAGATATAACCCCAGATATCCAGTTCACCAAAGGCAAATCCAAAGAGTAATGAGGTAGGGCAATTTGAAAACCACTTACCTGTCTCTCTGCATTACCATTACCAACAGTGGAAGAAACAAGGCAAATTAAAGAGGGTCTAGAAAAAACTTAAATCAGAAATAATTTCTCAGATAACTACAGAGATGGTGACCACAGTGAAAGACATGCTTAATGACGCTAGAGGAGATACAGATAAAAACATAGAGAAGCTTAGGAAAATGATTGAAGCCATCAATGCCTAACATAGGAAAGAAATGGAATCTATAAGGCATAATCAAACAGATGTCCGGGAGATTAAAAATTCGATTGAAAGTATATGCTGCAGGATAAGCTAATATGAGGACAGAAACTCAGATATAGAAAGCAGGCTTATAGTTAATGGTCACAAAAAGAAAGATTTCTTAAAAATAGCAAGGGATCATGACAAATTAATTCAGTAGCTGCTAGATGATGTGAAGAAGAATAACATAAGATTGATCAATATAAAATGATAAAGCAGGAGATAGCACAAATGATATAAAAAACCTGTTCAGAGACATTACATCAGAAAATTCCTGGTAAAGAAAAAGTACTTGACATAAGATAAGTGAGGCATATACACCTCCAAAAAAATTTATAGCAACTCAAAAAAATCTCTAGCAAGGCATACAATAGTGAATATTCCAGAAATTCAACACCAGAACAGAACATTGAAAGCTGTTAGAGAAAAGAAGGAAATCATCTTTCCTTTGAAAGTCTGTCAGGATCACAGAAGACTTCTCAACAAATGCTTAAGTCACAGAGAGCTGGGGGTGAAGCACTTCAGGTCCTACAAGAAAACAATCTCCAAACCAGATTGATGTACCCCACAAAATTATCTTTCAAAATTGATAGACATATAAGATGCTTTCATGACGAAAAATATCTGAAAAACAATTCATGAACACCAAACTGATACACCAAAAGCTTCTGATGGACATTCTATTAAGAGACAGCCAGGACTAAAACTCCATGAACACCAACAGCATGAATCTATCAAGCAAGGCGAATAAGTAAATAGAGCAGAAAAAAGGGAGTCAACCAACGGAAAATGACATGGATAAATCAATACATATCAGTTAACTGTTAATGATAATGGTCTCAATTCACCAATCAAAACAAACAGACTGACAGAATGGATCAAGACTCAAGATCCAACAAACATATTTAATTCAAAAAGAAATTCATAGAATTAAATTCAAGGGATGGAAAACAATACTCCATGAAACAAGAACCTAGAAATAAAGCAGGGATAGCTATTGTATTTGAAGACAGTGTATTTCAAGCCAAGAGTGATCAAGAAAGAAAGAGAAAATCACTATATCCTTGTAAAGGAAATGATTCAAGAGGAAGAGATAACAATCATAAATATATATGCAACAAATACCAGTGCATTCAATTATATAGACTAGAATAATTAGCATAATTTTATGTAAATTACAGAAACATTTATAATGAACAATAGAAGTAATAGAACAGAAATTTCTTGATCACTTCCTCAAATAGCTAAAATGAAACCTCTAACTTCTCACAAACCTTTAAAAAAAACCCATTAAATTTCCTCAAAAAACTATAGATCTACACCCTTGACTTATACATTTCTCTGTATAATTGTGTACTAATGAAATGCCTTATTTTTAAAGTCATATCAGAGATGACTGTTCACATCCCTTGATTTATTAAAGTGTTTGTTTACCTACTACTTTCCTGTATTGAAATAAGGAAGGAATTTCAAAGAAGATAAAGACTTTATATAGTTCCTGATGTGATGATACATTTTTAACAGATCATTAACATATTTTGCCACTTTACATATATTTTAGAATGCTTTATACTATGCAATGAACAAGAACATCATTTATGGTAAACTAAATTTTATATTTTGATTTAGGAATTAAACTACAACATCATTTCTAAAATAAAAGTTCAACACTTATAATTTTAACTTTCAGCATCTTTCTCAGGAATTTAAGTTTTTATAAGTGCATGGACTATTTATATATATAGAAAATAGCAACTGAAAATAACACAGAATCAACTGGACAAATAATGCAGCCTTAGAATTCATTAACCTAAAAAAATCACTATGTTAGATGACACAGTAGTCTTGATGAGGATAAAAGCAGTTTATAACCTATGATTTTAAATTTGCATAAGAAGCAGTTGAATACTTCACATAGGATAGTACCAATTAACAGAGCATGTGTCATAAGCATTTGTCAAAGAGAGAGATACAACATTGAGTTATGACTTGTATCTAAAATGCCTCCAAAATCATCATTTGCTACTAAAGGGGGCTATACAAAGGTGGCTAGATTTAGCTTATGTCCACATGGACTAAGGGTGTGATACCAGGATTGAGGGTGTATGATACTGTATTAGGTCACTAGTTGACTTTGAATGTGGTTAATGGGAAGTCCCACCCTGGGTGAGTGAAACCACCCGAATAGTTTGTCGACTGGATGGAGTACAAGGGGACAGAAATACAAGGGCACAGCAAGGAGGTGGGCTCCCTGCTTGTTGCTGCTGCTTTCTGCCTGCTCTACCATGGAATGTTTTTCTTGTGTGATGCCCCTCTGCCATACTACCATGCTTTGGAGCCAGCTGACTAAAATCTCTACAAAGCATAAGCAGAAAAAAACTTTTTCTCCTTTAACTTGTGGGTGCTGAGTATTTTGTCTCAGCAATGAGAAAAGAAACTAAGACATGTCGTATTGGAAAAAATTCAGAATTTGGAATAGGAATACTTAAGAGTCCAAAGTCTGCCTATTTTTTGCTATGGGATTTTGGATAAGTCTCTTAACATCTCCTAATCCCAGTTCTTCAGTTACAAAATGAGGTTAATATTAGCAATGTCTTCCTATTATAACAGTTGTGAAGGTCAAATGATGAGGGGATATTTTTCATGATGAAACATTTTTTTTTAAAAGTCTGGAATTGGAAACTGCTTCAAAAGTATAATCTCTTTCTGATGTAGTGCTATACCTAAACTTTGTTCTGCTTACCAAACAAAGAGTCAGATATAAACAGTTTTTGCTGATGTAGATTCATTTCAAACTGGGTTGAAGCTTAAGAAATCTGTCACTCCTATTAGAGTTTGATATTATTCATACCAAAATAAGAGTTATTATCACTTGTGACTGCTAGAATTAAATTTCATCAGAAAGAATGACTGCTAAAGATCTATTTTCTAGTAGTCAGCAGGAAGGTGTAAGCCTTGTGTTAGAATGTCTTTCAAATGGAACTATTTTCTTTTGTAATAATGGATCTGGGCACACTTTCTCTTCCTTTGTTCAAGCAAAATGCTTCGCTATAAATTTGAGCTTTCAGGTAAAAAATCTATGCCTGAATAATCTAATTGTGAAAACTAAGAAACTTTTGTTTAGTTTTGTTTTTTAGACAAAGTCTTGCTCTGTATTTCAGGCTGGCCTGAACTCATTTTGTATCCTAGGTTGACCCTGAACTCATTTTGTATCCTAGGCTGACCTTGAATTCACAGGGTTCCTCCTGCTCCTGCCTCTCAAACTCTGGGATTACAGGCATGTACCACCATGCCCTGTCACAGAAACTTTGTTTTCGGACTCTGCTTCCCACCTAAATGCCTTTCTATGTTCTCATTCAGCCTCATTCATCCCAAGTGAAGTTTGAGATAATTATTCTAAGTCCCTAATAAAAATTGTTGGCCAACTATTACTTTGTTTGGAGCAGCCTTTAAAATCTATTCTCTGGAATTATTAACACGAGCGAATGTTGGAGGCACAGAAGTAGGCATAATATCAGGTGAAGACAAAGAATATGGCTGGTAGTGAAGATACGTGACATGAAAATTTAATTTTCAGCTCTTCACATAAAGTCTCAAGGTGACCCAATGAGCTGGTGGGAGAAAGTTTGAATGTGAATATTTTGCTTCCTGAGTTTTACTTCATGCTTAATAATACACATGTAGGGTTATCTCTATATATTTTCCTTTTTACTTTTAGTGTATTTAAATATTCTAAAGGATAATGAGTATAATATATTAAAGAAAATTTGATCAATATGAATAGAAGGCAGGTAAAGGTAAATTGCTGCTCATTTGTTAAATGAAAGTTTTACATTCAACCAAAACATCATGAGTGATCATCTGGTGGGACTGTTTACAAACACTGACAGCAAAACTTATTATATTTCCTGATTTACCCGACTAGTTATAAGTCATGGTATCATAAAGCTAGTAAGAAACATCCAAGATTCAATTTTATCTAAGCTACCCATATTTGCTAAATAAATCTGATCATTCTTATCGTCCTCCATTTAGAAGATATGAAAAATGTTGACAGACTTATGACATCTTTCTAGACACAACTCACTAGCATCACATTGGCTATATTGGCATGGTCCTCATAGTGGAGAAAAGACAGGGTAAAGAAACGTCTCTTTTCTGAGCCCACTTACCTCGATTATCATCCTCATTATCTTCCCAGGGTTCTTCATTTGCTAGCAGTGGGTTCTGTGATTCATTCATAGACCTCATAGGGAAAGAGTGTCCATCACCAGGGCTGGTGAGAAGGGGAAGGCAGTGAGTTTCTGCAGCTACATAGTCTATTATGAAAGTAATTGTCCTTGTCAAAAGCCATGATGAAATAGTTTCTTACAATAGCTTCATTTGGCTGCTATCCTGTTTTCAATTTTTATCTTGCTTGCCTGCATTAGTATTGACTGTTTGTAAAAAAACCTTTAACTTGCTTTCCCCAATGCCCAATATAGTAATATGTGCACATAACAAGCTTTACGAGTATCATTTATTGATGATGATCCCAATTTATATCCCGTTGTCTTACTGTTTTGATTATAAATTGTCAAGGAAGATGAGCAGACTCAGAATGATTAAATGCAGTGGAGAGAAGCTGCTGTGAACTGGTGATAAATAATACCCTGATGCCATATTATTCATTTGGTTTATATGGCAGAAATGTTATTAGGAACTAGGGGAAAGGGTCATAGCGAGGTTTCTGGAGAGGAGATTTTGGATGAAATTATTCAAATGTGGTGGGCCTATTTTGTGGCTATCTATGGTAAGTTATAATTACTTCTCTGACTAATTTCTGGCCATTAGCAGATTGAGTTCATGGCAAGGAATTGCATTTGTCCTTGGTTATACAGGGTTATACTTTGAACATTTGACCCTGTATATCTGAATATATTTAAAGTCAAATTTGAGTGACTTTTGGATTTTTCATTTGATATTATTTACACCTTTCCTCTTGCTCATAAATGTGCATCATTGGACATTAATAGATTTTAGTGATAGTGTTCTATAGAAAATGTAAGTACGATGTTTACAAGTGAATAGGCTATGATTTTTGGGGGTGCGAGGTACTGGAAATCAAACTCAGGACCTCATGTTTGCCAGGCAAAAGTTATACCACTGAGATAAATCTCCAGCCCTAAGCTATGCTTTCTGTTTTGTTTTTCTTTCCTCAGTCTCCTATACCACAAAAAGACTCATTTTAGACCTTCATTTAATGTGGTGATGGCAAATAAATAATTACATGTATGCATGTGTGAATCAGGTGTAGATAATTGCTGGTAATAGTCATTAATCAACATCACCCACTGATATTGCTTTGTCTTGTGATTTATATCAAAGAAAGTAGAGTATATCGCATTTTAAACAAATCAGCCTATAAAACACTGTTACAGAAGAAGTATCAAGGCAATGAGTGATGGGGAAGTGAAAAATTTTCCTTAATTACCATCCAAACTCAGCAAAGTCTCCTCAAATAAGTGAGCATGAATGTATCCCTGTCTGAGAGCAGATCTAAAGGCAGGCAAGAAGTCTGTAAAGAAGTTCAGTTCCAGAGGTAGGCTAGTTGATGGTTGTTTAATCTGATTATTATAGTCATTTGGAGGACACAAGATTGCTTAGCTCTACTCATTTTCTTTTTTTTGGTCTTTTTCATTTTTATCGGTATCAGGGATCGAACTCATGACTGCCTGCTTGCAAGGCAGGCACTCATGCCACTGAGCTAAATCCCTAGCCCCAGCTCTACTCATTTTCGTTGACTACTTTCTCTGCTTGTCTGTTGCAGTCATAAAAACTGTTGAAAATCTCTGAACCAAGTTGTTTGTTCTTGCTTTTTAATTTTTGCTTCATAAAAGTGATATTAATATTTACCTCCAAATATGAAAAATTGAGAAAAGAAAAAATAACTTTTAAGACTATTGCCCAGACAAATATAACAGTTTTCACTATATTTCTCTTGTTATTCTTCTGTATATATTTATTCATTATTTCAATCAGTATATATACCATTTTTGATTTTACATTTTTCATTTAAGCATTTTCCTTATTGTGACATAATCTTTATAACCACTACTGTGGATTACATAATATTCCATTTTGTGTTTATATATTTTTATTTATCCATTCTATATTTTTGGGTATTTAAGTAAAGACAAAGTACTGACCTAGAAATGGAATAGCCTCATGATCTGTCATTACTAATTGAGAAATGGAAAACTTGAGGAATGAAGAGTCATGTTAGATTTGCTGTATACTACAATCAAAATTGAATTGGTTTCTTCAAAGCATGCCCTAGCATCAATGTTTCAATGGTAATAATTACCTACCTGGACCCAACAGGTATTAGCCAGAACTTCTTATTATCTCCAAACACCTGTTGGATATTTTTGACGATTCCAAGATTGAATCCATTTTTTTCTGGGCCATTGGTAAACACTGGAGTGCAAAAGGCCTCTTAGACATTGTAGGAAAGTTAAATAAAAGAAGAAAAAAGCAAAAAAAGAAACAAATTTCAGCATAGTCATGATTTTACAATTCTCCAATGATGTGACTCAGTTTTATAACATCTTTTTGCTGTTAGTATAGGCCCATCATTCTCTGCTATTGTTACAATACATTGTAAAAATCAGTTTAATCACATATTAAAAGATAAATTTACTCAGCATAAAGAATTAGTAGTCTTATTTGTAAAAATGCAGGAGAAACGCATGACAGTAAAAATAATTAAGCAGCCATAGGAATAGTATGTATTTTTTCTGCTGAATCTAAGGCGTGAAGGAACAGATTTAACCATACTTTATTTGAATCTAAGTGGCTGCAACAGTCACATGCTCTCCATCTATAAACCTGGGACCAAAATAATGGCACATAAAGGGATGTAATGACATTGATTTTGTTTTGAAACATTTCAGAAATGAAAATGTTCATACTGAAGCCTGAAATGTAAGAAACAACGTTTTACTTCTGATAAAATGTAAATGGATGAGCTATAATCACCTCAAAGACTATGCGGAATTGAGCCTTGTTAGTGTACATTAGCTTTAGACACACACTTATCCCATTAAGCAAACACTTTTACTGTTGGATTCTGGCTGTATATGAGCACTTTTCATTCATTCCTTAGTTTCAGGCACTCTTACTAGAAGCTGTAAGTACTTTTCTACTTTGTAGCTGATCTTTAAGTGAAATGTGCTAATTTATCCAATCAACTAAGTGTTACATATCTATTTGATTTAGAAAATGGGTGCCAATAATTTCACATCTATTGTTAGTAAATGAATCTTAAAGTACACTGATTTTTGCACCAAACTTTTGATGCTTTTGGATGAATGGATCCTGGATAGACATTCAGCACTTGAAAAATTTCTCCTCACTCCTTATGTATTAATTTGTAGACCATTTAAATATTTGTTTCACTATATATGAAAATATGATTGCACTAGAATTCATCAGAAATATACTATTCAAGCCTAGAAAAATATACTCAAGCCTAGAGAATTGAGTAATTGACAGCAAAAGTGTTTATTTCTTGTACTCATTTTCTAGAGATTAACATATTCAATGTGTTTATCTTGCTCCTCGAGTTCCTATGTAGCTTCTTGACAAACATAGGTATTCAAGTATCTGATTCTTTTAAGAATTTTGAGTTCTCATTATTGGTTTGGCTTCTTAAGATTCTGTTTTGGAATATGCTTAATTAAACAGTTTATTTTATTTTGTTGACCTGCATGCCCCTGCCTTTTAATGTTTGCTTCTCTATTGAGCCATCCTTTCATTTCATCATATGAGTACCTTTAGAAATTTTATGAGTTGTGAAACTGGGGAACTGTTACTCTGTAAACATTATAGATAGCTTTCACTAATGATCTCTTCAGTCTGTAAGGTTCACTCATTACATGAATTTTCATGTGTCGCCATTTTGGAGGAACAAGATATCATTACAGTTAAAATACTTCATTAGACATTTTTTCTCTTACTTGAGAACAGTCTGCAGGTCACTCTTATATAAATTAATATGTTTTCCCTACACTTAATATTCATTCTTACCTAAGGTAGTTTTGTTTCTGCTGACAAGCCAACAGTGGTAACCAAATAGAATCACAAGGCTGACAAAAAACATGCAGGCCACAAAGAGGAGAAAAAGGACATGGAACTTAGAGCGAACACTGGGCAGTTCTCCCTAGAAAAAAAAATAAACAAAAAAGATTAAATTTGCGAAGCTTAGCTAGTTTTATTATATAGGTTTACATGTATATAAAACAGTTGTAATTTAAAAATAGATTTTGTAAAATTCTTACATTGTTCCGTCAGTTAATAATAATTTATTATGCATATACTCTTAGCCTACAAAACCTAAAATGAATTCTTGCAATTCAGTGTAAACTAGGGTATACAATGTACCAATTAGAAAAGAGTCCTGTGGAAAGTGTGTAGCAAAGTCATAATGACATAAAGCTTGTATTCCAATTTGTTTAAGAATTATGAACCATTGGTTAGAAGTGATCTTGTGATCAGTTACTTGTCGCAAGGCAATTTATCCTGGAATTCTTTCATGAATGCAGGAAGTTAAAACATATAGGTAAAATGTTTAAAGGTCCTTCCTAAAATCGTGATCTAACTTTAAAGCTGCTGCATATTTTATGTGGTTACTTTTTGTAACTGAAGTGGAATGTGCTGGTATATTACATCCTGTATAATAGCTATTTATGCAGTAAAACTTAAGCAGATTACAGGTAATTATAAAAGTATATGGCTAAAGATTTTTGTAATTGTTAGGACCTTATTTTCCATATAGCATGAGCTTTTTACTTGCAGTTCTAGAACAAAACGAATGTTTGAAACTTTTTAAAATCATGTGTGTAATGTAATATTTTGTCTTCTAAAGAGAATTTTAGAAAACATTTTCAATTTTCAATTAAGTGGATGAGCAGATAACTAATACTTCCTCCTTTCCAATAATGATCATTGTTTTAGCATGACGAATTACTCTAAATTATTTCCAAATGTTATTCAGTAATAAAGTTAAAAGTGATTAAGTGAAGTGGACTTTAATTCCTGAATGATCCTTTCCGTTTTGGAGTAGAAAGTTAATTTGTAGCAACACTTGACAAGTTCATATTGTACACATTCTTTATTGAGAGGATATTTTAATTGATTTTTATGTAAGAAAATATTGGGCATCTTCCAGGGTATATATGTGTAAGGGATGAAGTTCAGGGGAAATAATTGAGTCACATGCTTTTAGCTGACAGGAAGTCTAGGTGAAATTTCTGTGGGGGGTCAAAGCAGCCTGGGAAATAGTTACCTCAAGGACTTCAGTAACCTTTATTTGAAGCTGCCCTTTTCAAAAGAATTCCTTCACAAAATCTTTGCCTATGTACCCAAAATTAGATTAGATTGCTTTCTGTTTGTTTGATTTTGAATTCATAGGGCCGGGCAATTTAGCTCAGCTGCATAAGCACCTGCCTGGCAAATGCAAGGTCGTGAGTTCAATCCCCGGTACCAAAAGAAAAAAACAAAAAAAAACCAAAAAACAAAAAAACTTGAATTCATAGGTAATATTTTAGATGTTTCTTTACAGTAGTTTTGTTTTCTCTAAGATTTTGCTTTCATGACTTGTAATTTTTTGTATGCTTACAAAAGTATTTAAAACATTAATTTTACTTATTTTTTGCATTTAAATGGGCAATAGGAAATGGTTGGGCAAGTGAAACTTATTACAAAGTCTGTCTACATGTTGTGTAGCTGAGCTGGAAGCTACTTTCCTTCCTAATTATTATTTCAGAACTCTGTCTACTAAAGTGTATCTATAGGGTTGTCCCTCGATAATGTTCTTAACATGAAACCTTTTTTTTTTTTCTGTTCAAAGAATGTAACAGCTCTATGTTCAAAAATACCTTCTCAGGAGATAACTAAACTAAATCACTGAACTAATAACCACCAGAATCTTTTCAGAAGAATATTAATAGAATAATGGCATATCAGGTTTCTAAGATAATTCATAACTTCTTTTAAGAGATTCATGGCCCCAGTGTGGTAGGTGAAGATCAGTTTCCTATAAAGTTAGCTATTGTTCACAGTGAGAGAAGAGAAATAATCTCAGGGTCTTTTGAATTCTTTATCTCAAAGTAAGTAAAGTTTAGCCATAGTAGGACCATTAAACGCAGTAGAACATTGGGTAGTAAATAAACTTACTGGGCTCAGGGTTAGGCTTAGCTTCCAGTCCTGACTTTGAAATTTATAAGCTAGGTGATCCTGGGAAAGTCACTTAACCATTATTAACCTCAGTTTTATCACCTTTGTTTGAGATGAATGATGTCTACTTTGCCTACTTTGGAGCACCGTGAGAATCAGATAAAGTATTGGATTTGAAAGGACTTCAAAAAACTGTAAAGTATCATACAAATAGAGCTTGCTATTCTTAGAAGTACGATTTGTCTCCCTGAAACATGGCTTTTAAAATACATGGCAGTGTTTACTTTTTATTTTAAGGAGAGACTCAATTTAAACTGAGAAAGCCATTTGTAAATGACACTAAAGCATTCTCTGGCTGGAGAGACTGCAAAGAAGAATTTCCTTCCTTGAACTATCAATGCCATTTTCAATTGGAGTTAAACCAAGACAGGTTACTTCCTCTCTCATATGTCAGACATGAGTTAGGCTGCTGTGGAGAAAAACTGAGGGAATAGGAAAAAGACAGGTCTATATTGGTATTGCTTGCAAATTCTGGCATATATCTGATAATTAATTCATTACCAAAAGTCATCTATCAAGAATGAAATAAAACATACAGCACATAGATGGCATTATGGCATTTTATTACTGCTGACTGGGAGGGTTAAAGGTAAAATGGGTGAAATGTAGTATTGCTTATTTTGTTATGAGGGTAAAGGTGGTTGTTAAACAGTGGCCTACTGTGTTAAGGACTAAGGAAGTTCTGTAGTAAAGATCAAGGATGATAGTTTGCCTGATGACTGGATCTAGCAGATTGTTTTCCACTTTTATAATAGTTGCTTAACATGTGGATGGAATGCCAAACAGGTTGTAGAAAACTGAGCAATAGATGACGTATCTCGTACTGTGGAAAGAGACCAAAGAAGAGATATTCAGATATGTAACATGGTGAAATGTTTTCTATATATAGAAAATTTTGAGAAAAGCTTGTTATTTCTGCTTGTCATATTCTTTATCTCTGAATTGAAGATGTTTTTGTATCTATGATGTAATTACTAATTCCTAAAGTTACTAAATATCTGAATCACTAAGCAAGTTGAAGGGAAAATGGAAACTATACATTATTGTAATTATCTACACTATATTTTCTATTAGCTGGTAGAAATAAAAAAACATATTTATAGTTTAAACATTCTCAGTTATTTACTTTCTCACTACCTTGTCTTTTTCTTGTTTTCTCCAGTTTATTATAATTTACACCTGTCCATAGGATTCATCTTCTTTCCCTATAACTTAACTTCTCCAGCTAAGGTAAGATATTCCTACTATATAGACTCTTCTTAAAGTAAAAGCTATTTGGTATACCCACATTTATCTTTTGTCATTTAGGTTCAGTTTGGATAGCTCCTCATCAAGGATATATTAATAAAAAAACTGAAGCTGTGGGGAAGGGATAAGTTATGGAATCCATTGTTATGAAGTTAAAAAATACATATTTATCTATGCTTATACATACATACACATACATAAATGGAAAATCTGCCTCAGTTTTCTTTTATTTTAAATAAATGGATATGGTTGCTATTTCCAAGTAGCAAAAATATGAAAGCAAGATGTTTTGAGGCTTTATTATAACTATTAGCATGATATTTTGAAAAAAAGCACTTTCAACATCTGTTTCATTTGATTATGGTAATGAGCCAATGATGCATGGAACATAGCCAGTGTTAGATCCAAGTTTGCTTAATTCAGAACCTAGAATTTGTCACAAAATGTTGAAAAAAGACTTTCCATTTCATTTTTGTCACATATAAATGTAGGGCAATGTATCTTTATTTGCAGAAGAAATTTTACAACTCTCCTTTGAAGTTGGAATTAGGTAGTATTTTCTAACAGCAAAGGGTTTGGTTAAGTATTTTTTTTAGAAACTACAGATTTTGAGTTAGTTTCAACACTTTTCAAATATATATAAATGGCAAGAAGTGGGATTTTAAAACTCAATTGCAAAAATACATCTTAAAGAACAGTAGGAATCAAAAGGTTAGGTTTCTGAAAGCCTTAGCAAAGACTGTTATATATGACAGAAACTTGTTTAACTAAAATCTTTATTTCTTAAATCTGAGTATTAAACTTTCTTTCTTTCTGTAGTAGTTATTTCAAAATGCAAAAAGATATAGAATGCGTAATGTCAGGTACTATGAATGAGTGTACATTTATTCAGAAGGGGCCCTTTAGAACTTCTTAAAAAAAACTTACTCTCCAGTATTTGATGAAGTAGCTGAAGACTGTTGTAGCAATATACAGGCAGTAGAGAACAGAATAAGCTAAGAACTGAAGGAAGAATTTGTAGTTGGAAAATCCAATGCAGTTATTAACCCTAAAAAAAACAAAAAAGTTGAAACCAGGACCTATCAAGTGGGAACACACTGATATCTAAGTGGACTAAGCAATTAAGCATGTTATTTCTACTGCTTCAGGAATATGTCAGGATATGTCAGGCAGAAATCCAACAGAAATGGAAGTCTCTTAATAAGAACAGAATGAAAAAGAGTTCACCACTCACAGGTTTCTCATTTTATTTACAGTCATAGAAACCTCTAGATTATCTAATAGCTCTGGAACCAATTCCTGACACTCTCACACAAACCTGGATTTTGTTTACTAAACACTTACTAAACTCTTAAAGCTATGCTTGGTCCAGTTATGGCATGTTCTCTTTGTAATTAGGTGATTTCAAATTGGTTCTATAGGTCAAACATATAAAATGTAGAGAACTACTGAGTTTAGCAACCTAAAGTATTTGAAACATCATGCCAACTAGAAACAAAAATGAATTATATACTGTAAAAGAAGAGACGTACTTTGCTGTATTTCATCATAATACTCAATTCCCAAAGTTAATGGGCAGGAAACTACTACATTTGTGACTCCAGAAATTCACTCCCATATTTTTCATAGTATATTTATCCCCAATCCCAACAGGCATAGGAAAGTGGCTGTACTTAGCGACTTTGACTCTTTTGAGGAGAGAAATGAATCAAAAGGACATACCAAGGGCAGTGATGGTCCATTTTTAAAACACACCTACAAATTGAACAAAATAAAGCGCAATGAGTAAAGCTATGGAAATTAAACAATACTTCAAAATTTAATTCAAGCTTTCACTAGTATTTACATGGTTTCAGTAAACTCATTCTCTATATCCTCAATTGTTTCTAGAATGAAGTAATTAAACCAACATTTCACAGAATTGTGCTGGTCACAAGTCACATGCCTTTAAAAGGGATTAGAAATGCCAGGATATTGATATAGAGATGTCTCCTCTAGTTTTTTTTAATAATCAGTTTAATAAAATACATGGCTACAGCCTGTGTTTGATTTAAAGTTAAGAGAAACATAGGTGGAATAAGCACTCAAAATTAAAGGAATGAAGATTACATGCAGTAACATAAAGATGGAGTTTTATAAAGCTAGAATATTTTTGTTTTGTTTTTTAGACATGGTCTTGCTTTGTGGCCTTGGCTGGTCTCGAACTTACGACCCTCCTACTTGTCACAGTCTCCAAAGTGCTGGTATTATAGGCATGTGCCGTTGAACCCAGCTTCAAAAGTAGAACAACTAGAGTAACAAAAACATAAAATAGTATTTGTTTATAATATAAAATACAAAATTAATATCTAAGCTTCAATATTGACATAAATAAATGATTTAATAAGTGAATAGATGTGGGAGAAGAGACACATCTTTTACGCAGAAGAATTACAAATAATTTACTAAAATACCTTTAAGGAGAGGGAATGTAACTTTACATGCTTTTTTTTCTTTCTTTTTCTCTTCTTTTTTTTTTTTTTTTTTTTTGGAGAGGAAGTCTGTCTAAGTAATTCTGTCTGGCCTGGAATTATAGGCATGTGCTACCACTCCTGAATTCCATTCTTTGTAGGATGTGTAGAGACTTCTTCAAAAAGTATGTTATGGAAGTAGAAGGGCATAGGGAATATTTTTATAGTATAAAAACTTGAAAACTACTATCTGAGCCAGATGATCAAGATTCACATTGCAGTGATTAAGTCATTTATATGTATTTTTGATATGAAATAATGAGAATTACACTTTGGCTTTATGGTCTTCTAACCAGATCACATTACTCTAGTGTAATGATCATGAAAAAAGACTAAACAAATCTCAGTTGAGAGACATTCTATACAGTGCCTGATCATTAATACTGAAAACCTTTGAGATCATCAAAAATCAGTTAAAGTTTGAGAAACTGTCATAGATTTGAGGACTAAAGAGATTGATGAATGTAATGTGATATTCTGGGTTGGATCCTAAAACAGACAATAGACATTAGGGGAAAATTAGACTTGTTAATAAAGAGGTATCAATATTGGTTCATTAATTGTTACGGATGTATGATAGTAATTGAAGGTGCTAATATTTGGGGAAACTGGGTGTGATATACATGAGAACTCTTCACAATAAACCTATAAACTACAAACTGTTCTAAAATTAAAAAAAATTTTTAATATTTAATATTTTGATATTATTTATCTTTAGAACATTTTAAATCTATCTTTTCTGTGACAGTGTTTAGCATGTGCTCATCATGATCTAAAGGAAATGTTCCTATCTAGGCATAGCTACGTGTTAGCATCAGTCATCCTGTGATCTAGGCAACCATGCATGTCCAAGCTAAGCCCAGGTAAAATATGTCTGTCACTTACATGGCACAGACAGAGCAGTGGTGGCAGCGGTCTGGCTTGATCAGATGGCACCGGTCACAGAATCGTACAGCTACAGGAAAAATAAGGTGGTTAACATTTGTTAGGGCACAATGTAAGACCTTATATCTTACTAGTGTATATAGATGACTCATTATATACTGACTAAAGGTAGTGAAACTCATTTTAAGTTAGCAAGCAAAAGATAATTAGGAGAATTGTGCTATGTAATTTTGCCTTGTTGGAGCAATCTTGAAAACACCTTTTCAGGAAGTGGAAAGTTTCATATTTGAGTATCTGACATAAGATTATGTATGATAAAAATTACTGTCAACTGCTTGAGTTATCTTGCCAGATCACATAGGTGGTTTATTCTGAAGTCTATCTGAAGAGAAAGTAATTTATCACTTGTCTCCAAAGGTTAGATTGTATAAGGTGGATAAAATTTCTACAAAATGGCAGAGTGGTTCTTAGAAAAACAATTTGAAGAATAGATATCATAGAAAAATTAGTTCAACTGACCATTTCATTGATAAAGAAATGTCATATCATATGATTTGTTCAGGGTCACACCTTGAATGATAGGGCTGTGACCTGTATACTTTTTCTAACATTTAGTTCAGGGCTTCTGTTCACCTCACGAGACTGATTTTTTAAAAAAAATCCCACCTCTCTTTTTCTTTTTTTTTTTTTTTTTTGTTTGCTTTGTTTTGTAAGGGAAATTGAACTCAGGACCTTGCACTTACCAGGCAGGTACTTATGCCACTAAGCTATATCCCCCCTCCTGTCTCTTTCTTCTTTTTTCCTGACTTTCCCTTATATTAAAGGCATTCTTTTTTTCTCATTTTCTTCACGGTCGTTGATAAGACGTCGTTGATAGTTGGGCAAAATGAATATTATTTAAGTATAAAACAAATTATGGATAATTTGAGCTAATATAAAACTACATTCCTTTCACCTAAAATGTACACCTAAGAAGCACATATAACTGTATCAATACAATAGACTGCTCAGTCATCAAAGTTTTGCATTCATTTTTACCAGGGGTGTGTATGTGAAAATATAGATATAATCAAGTCAAGGAGGAAGAGAGAGGCACGTACACGTTTGATGCCTTTATCATACTTTTAAGAATACTGTAAATGTTGCAACCATAGTTTAAATAATCATTATCTCTCACCTAGACACCTACTATAGTTGTATAATTGATCCACCTTAATTATTGCACCCCACAATGCACACTACACAGAGCAAATGAGCAATCTGCTGAAGTGCAAACGAGATTATACTATATTACTATCCACTTACGATTCTTTCCAAAACCCTTGCAGTGAAATCCAGATTCTTACATGGCTGCATTATCTGGCCTCTGACAATCTCTTCTACCTTATCTTATACAACTCTCAACCTATTATGCTCCACTGACACTGGCTGTCTCTCTAATATTACTGAAAGTTTTCTCTGGTTTCAGGGCCATTGTACTTATAATTCCTTTGGCCTGGGATGACCATCACTTTGCACTTTGAATGGTGTGGTGATTAATTTTACCTGTCAACTTTGGTTGCTCAGCTATTTGGATAAACATTATATCTGGGTGTATTATATCTATGAACATGTGTCCAGAGAAAAGTGGCATGAATTGGTAGATTCAAAAGAGCAAATTGTCTTCCGCAATTTGGGCTGCAATCTAATGAGCACTTAAACAAAAAAAGCAGAGAAAAGGATAGAGAAAAGGATTTTGTTCTCTCTGAATTAGGGCATGAGCAGAGACGTCAGTCTTCACCCTTAGACTTGGGCTTAAACAATCACACATACAGGTTCTCAGGACTTCAGACTTAGACTGGAACTTACATCATTATCTTCCTGTTTTTCTCAAGTTTTTGGACTTTGACTAAAACTTACACTGTTGGTGCTCTTGATTTTTAGGACTTTATGCTCCGTTAGGCACTATACTACCACTTTTCTTGGGTATGCATCTTACAGATGACAGACAGTGGCATCTCTCAGTCTCCATAATTGTTTAACCTAATATACCCCCTATCATTTCTCCTTCTTTGGATAACCTTGAGTAAAACACATTTTGGTATCTAGAGAAGATCTGGAGGAAGAAGAATTTAATGAGTCTTCTAAAATAATCCTGTAGTTTCTGGAACTGGCTCTCTGATCTGATTGGATTTGAAGATACTAACAACTATTAAAAGTGGTAAAAGAAAAGGATAAGCTCAGCAACTTGAATTCCCTAATCAGGCACCATAAAAATTACGTAAAATCTTCTATGCTGTACTGAAGCAGATGCTTATCTCTTGACCATAATATTGAGATTGTTAAAATTCACACACAGAATTTCATCCTGGGAATAGCTGAATTATGCAAATAATTTCCAGTTATATAAGGTGTCTACTATTAAAGGGAGGGCACTGATTGGCAAAAACGGGTATCCTATAATTTAGAATAGATATGTGGAGGAAGACCATGGTTAAGCCAGGGATGTGGATCCCATTATGATAAAGTTTCTTTGTCAGAAAAAGAGGTCATCTCCCAGTGGAATCAACTTCCTAATTCCCACTACAACTGGCTTCTCCTTTTCTGTCTGAAGGGTTTAATCTTGCACTGCCAGAGGAGTCTTATGTCACCATGCAAGAAAATACTGATTCTCCTCTAAACCAACTCCTCTTTGTTTCCAGACCCATAATTAGACTAAAGGATTGTGGGTTCCAAAAAGTGAAGTACATAGTGTGACTGACTAATGACTAATGAGGAGGTACAATACACTACAAAAGAATTTGAGTTTTGTAGCTTATTCAGGCAGAAATGCAGGGAGTATGTGTGAGAATGGATAATAAAAGACATAAAATAGTTGTGGAAGCAACATAAAATCAGATGTAGATGAAAATATTGATATGGTTCCATTAAGGAAGCATTTTGCATTTAGAAATTTTTAAAAATTTTTTATTTTAAAGAGATTAAGACAAAAAAGAACATAACGAAACAAATCAGAACAGAACAATGTAAGCAACACAGCATTTCACCACAAGACAACCTGTAAATAGCATTCTGCGTTTAATGTTGTAGATAACTGAGGTAGAAAAGGCTTAACAGTTTGGTTGGTTAGGTGGTTGAATCACGGACCACAAAGTAGCCCACAGTAAATTAACTGAAAATGACACACCTGCCTTGATTTAATGTAAAGGAAGGACTTCAAGGCTAAGAAACTGACGAGTTATAGTGAATTTGTCATTTAAGACCTACTCACTTACATTAAGTTAGTTAGAAGACATACTTTTCACCAATATTATGAGAACTAAATTTGAGCAAGGAACACAGCATGCTTGAAGTGTTCTGTGACTGCTCTTCTTTATAGGCCAGGTGTGGGAACTATAGTCACTAAACTGGGAAACCTAAATACCATGGGTCTAATTGGATCAGTGGTGGCAGCAGTCAAGTGGTGGCAATCAACCACTAAGAGCAACGTAGGCAAAGCTATCATTATGGACAAGAAAGCAGTCAGAATAGTCAAACTCATCCAGAAATATGGCTTTGGCTAACCAAGTTTCTAGAAACGAAATAGGCAGGAAGCTAACTATGTTCTTACTTATAAGCATAAAAGTTCTAGATTAATTGTTATGGCTTAAATCTAGTGTCCCCAAAGTATCACATTCAGAGGTAGAAACTGGTTGTAAGGTGCAGGTAACTGTGGGACATGACTTGGAAGGGTATATTTCTACTCCTTGCTCCTCCTTTCTTTGTTTCCTGGAAATTATGTTACTTTACCATGTTGTTTTTGCCTTAGAGCCAACCAACCATGGACTGAATCCACTTTAGCTATGAGCCCAAATAAACCTCTCCACCTTTAAATTCTAGGTGTTGGGTATATTGTCCTAGTGACTGTATAAGATTACCTAGACATCAGAACAACTGCTGCAACATTAGTTAAATTAAGTCTTACTTCATATACTGATATATACAGAGGAGGCTATGCCTTTTCCTTCCATTTTCACTGGGATCTAATTAATGAAAATAAGGCCAGTTGATGTACTAATATGTAATTTTTTAGGCTAACTGATAATTTTCAATTTCCTCGAATTGTGTTCCCTGTGAATCAGTTAAATGCAGTGGGATGGCAGAGCCAGTCAGCTCCAGGAATGTCAACTGGCCATAAGCTTTGAAATAAAGAGGCTATGACCAGGGTACAAAAGTTTACGTATCAAAAAACTGAAGCATCACCTTACTAAATTCATTGATATATTATCCCAATCAAGTCATGCAGGCTGATCTTTCTGCATATCTCCTTCCATACTGCAAAGATGCTTTTCTGCCCACTTGGCTATCCAGCTCATGTTACTCATATAGTTCCTGCCATCCTCCCTGTCAGTGGTCCTCAAGCCACTTCCTTCTTCATAAGATAATACATTTTTGGAGAGGCTTTGGATCAAGGCCTTTGTCTATATATCCTCACTTGGATCAGTCTTAGGACTCTTGGCTGCTCATAACTTTGAATATGTCTTAGTGTTACTCTCATGGGTTGCATTGGAAGTAGTAGATTGGAATTAACTCACTGGAATTTCAGTGACATTTCAAGGGGATTACAAATATAACTTTCTGGATTGTGAGGAGGACTGTATACACGGTTACAACATGTGGATTACAATGTATAATAATTGGATTACAATATTATAAAGACTTACTATTGGGATTATAATATTGTGACTTCAAAAAGTGATGAGACAGTGATTGATAAGAGTCAACTCACTGAAAGTCCAATTTCAATCCTAAAAATAGTCATGATTTCTCAGTGAACTCTCAAGATTTGAGCCAGTATACATATCTAAAACACTTTGAGTGAAGTGGAGATTAGATCCCTTGAAGAAAGACCCCAAGATTCGTCCAAAACTGCTAAAGGTTTATACCATTAAATCTTTTGCCCAGCCTTCACCGAAAGTATCTCTGCCTTTTATGGAGTTAATTTAACCCTAAGGAAAGGAAATAAATAGCCCTTTAGGATAACGCTGGATACTGGTTCTGAACTAATTTCAGGAGAACTAAACCTTCAGTATGGTCAGGGTTGGAACTTAT